GGCTCTTCACAACCACTATTGAGCATTTTCCCTTTGGATAATGCCCTCAACTTCAGGTGCTTGGTTCCAGGTACTTAGAGATTCATTTCCATACAGAAAGCCCATATTCTTATTTTCAGCTACCACAGTAAACATGTCAGCTTAAATAATACTACATATACTTCAGCGATAGAATCAAGGTGCTACTTTATTGTGTCTCTTATACTATATCCGTTGGTTGTGCTTTTCTTTTTTACATCTCTTTGCAGATGATCAAGCAGACTGAAGATTTTTTATCATTGTCTCCCTTTTATCTCCTCTTTCTTTCATCCTTTCTCCTTTTTTCCTGTTTTTCCTTTCCTGTTCTACTTTCCCATTGCAGTGTCCATATATTCTGTAAAACTCCCTGCATGAATTATAATAAAGCTATTGATACTTATAAATCAAGCGGAACTCTTTGGCGTTAGCCATACTGTTCCACTTGTGAAAGATAAATCTGTTGGTCCCTTTTTTGGTATCAAGACAATTATTTTTATTGCCACATTGCCAGACAGGACACTGTTAAAAAAAAAAAAAAAAAAACAAAAAAAAAAAACGTAATTTTATTTAAACTTAAGTATAATGTAGAATCTGCAATGTTTTAACTGTAACTCAAGCAAACAAGTTTAATAGGTTCTTTCACTTTTTTTTTGCACACCTATTTGTACTTTGACTAAGCTAAAGATTTTGAATACTTTTGTCACCTCTGTATTTAAATGTATTACAGAATTCCTGCTCTTACATAACATAGTAGAAAAAGACTGGTGCTGTTAAATGCTTATGATGTAAGACAAACATTCTCAGACAGAAGATTCCCCTTACATCACTTTAAGAAGTACTTTCTTTTTCAGATTACAGCTAATGAAATTAATTGGCCAAACTGAGTCAAGAGGTAAGCTATATTTAGTTGGTGTTACCTAAGGACGCAGGTTGTAGTGTGATTATCCCCTTTATTCCGTTCCACCTTCTCATTGCTCTCTGCATTTGCAGTAGAAAGAATAAAAACCCTACAATGACTCCAATTATCTTGTTTCTCTGCTATGTACAGACACAGTTAGATGCCATGAAGCTGAACAGGATCCACACAGCGTCCAAGGCGGCCATTCCTAAAAGGAGGGAGGAGAAGGGGGAGGTAAGGCCCCATCAGAGGGTACATAGGATCTCCTCGGATGAAAGCAACACGGCTATCCCAGAGAGCCGCATCACACCCATTCCAGAGATCACAGAGTCCTTCCAGAGAAGGCTGTGCCTCAATGAAAAGAGAACCATGTCACTGGTGAGTTTTTTTTACCACTTAGTTTGGATTTTTTTATAGAACATTATTCAACTTCTTGCTTAGTTGCTTTAGGTAAAGCCTGTCGGGATTAAGGAAAACTTAGACGGCATTAAGGTGGGATGCCTGAGATGTTCACACAGCCAAACAGACATGTAAAATCTGTATGACATAACAGAGAAGTTTCCGTCTGTAGAGCTTTTAGACAAAAGTGGCAAAATCTTTCAGCATTATGTTTTAAATACCATTTGAAAAAATTTGGATGCTGCTAAAAATGCTAAAAGCCAAATAATTCATTCATCAACTGTATTCTGCATTATATTATTTTATTTAAACATGTCAAACCAATATGAGGTTTCATTCATCAACCCTTTAAAGTTCACTGATTTGTGAAAAAAAAGTTAAGCTGAGGTCAAAAGGAGGAAAAATATCACAACTAGAGGTTTAATTTGAAGACACTGCTGTGATTATGATGGCAAATGTAATAAAAACATAAATGTGCAAACCCATTTAGTCCCATAGGGCCCTGGGTACATGTTGTAATGCTTGTACGAAGTCCCTTCAGAGGTGTTGTGTCTCATCCTGTGTGGGGAAAGTGGTCTGAGCTGATCCTCCACATGTTGGTGGAGGTCAGAACTCTTGGCTATCCATAGACTTTTATTGGGTTGTCTGGTTGGAAGACTGTTCCAGAGTGTTTTTTCTAGAAGATGGTAGCACAGAACAGATCTGCGACATCAGTCCCCTCTTAACCTCATACCTAGTGTTATTTCACACTATAGGGCTAAAAGTAATTTCCCTGTGTCACTTCACATTGACGGCAGGACTCGATTCCACCCTTTGCTCCCACCATATGGTATAAAAGGACACAATTTGTTGGTCCAATTGTGGTTATTTGATGTTTTGGTTCCTTAATAGTGCCACCTACTGGACTGAGGGCATAGTGCAGCTTTCTTTGCGATTCCCCTATACGACGTTAGGTGGATTTCAATGTTTGGTCAGTGGTCAGTACAATACCTTTGAAGGCATTGCAAATAGACATATAGTTTTTGGAGAATAATACACAACTTTCAAAAAGATTTACTGTTAAAAACATGAAAAAGGAAGATGGGCTTTTGTGTTTAGCTACTTTACTCCAATACTTCCCAAGATATACTCTGCAACCAGTTCTCAGAATTGACCTTATCATGTGTAATTTCATTTCAGAACAAATCTTAAACAATATTAATGAACAAACATCTTTATGACATAGAAATACAGTAGAGTAGAAAAATCCGGTAAAAAGTTATAAACATTTGAGCTTCTTTTTGAGCTATCATTCCAGCAAAGCACAGCTGCAAACATAATAAGAAATGGCAATCTACCTTACCCAGACCTATAAAGAAAGGAGAGAATAGGTTTGTGATCTGGACATCAATGTAACACTGAAGGATAAATATAGATTCCTTATAAAAGAGGAAATATTGTAGTAAACTCAATACGCCTGGATTTTGTGGAAGAGTTGCAAGAGAAAGCATTTATCAGTTGTTTTTGCCCTAAAAATCTCTATACATGGGGTATCAGCTGTCGTGTTTTTCTTAAGCATGGACATGGAAGCTGGTCAGAGTTATTTGGAGGATTGAGGGAGCCTATTATATGATATTTAGAGAAGTAAACCTTTTAGAGTCTGCTGAGTGCTTGAAACGGGGGCAGAGGTTCACCTTATAGCAATACAACAACCCAAAACCTAAAGGAAGGGTTATAATGGAATGGTTTCCAATAGATACAGTATAATGAAAATCAGTCAAATCCTAACTGCAGATTTGCGGAGGAACAACTGATCCTCACAGATATTTATGTGAGTTCATTTTGATCCATTATGTTGAAAGCTGAGAGAGATATCCCCCTAAAGAAAACCCCTTATTTTCCCTCTAAAGTCTCTGACTGTTTAATATTATTCTATCAGATAAAACCCAAAGCAAGTACAGATACTTTTTTGCAAAGTGTCAAAATGTAAAACTTCTAAGAGTCATGAATTTCTTACCCTCTCTTGTGCACTAAAATGCAGCCTTTCCTTGCAGATTGAATGCCTTACATATCTCATTATAGTTTGCCCGTACATCAGTAACATCCTCCTTGTATTTGCTTAATGATGCTGAAGTTTGCTGTAAGAATTTTAAAATATTGGGCTCGGAGGACTGAGAAATCCATTATATAATCGGTTAACAGTTTAAAGCCACTGTATTTAGTATTATGAGGTACACATGGTACAGCTCATAAGCTAATATAGATTATTTATATATAAATTATCTATATGTAAGGGTTTTGGAGTCACATTGAGGCTATGTATTTTAATAAGAAAAGATCATGTAAAACGATCCAAAAGAAAACACAACAGAACAGCAACATTCTAACTGAATGATTGACTAATTTGACAGCTTTATGACAGAGAGAGAAACAAAATAATGTTGATATTGAGACTTAAAATCGTCTTTTTCTCCACGTTTTGTAGAGCGATAAAGACAAGGTGTTCCTGAATTGTCATGAAGATCTGTGTAAAAGTGGAGAGAGACTTCAAGAACTACAGTGCACACATCGCTTCCACAAAGAGGTAGGAAGCTCATTTGGTTTAGATCTTTAGTGCATGCTTCCTGCCTGTGGTTCATTCACATTACATTCCCAGCATGCCAGAAATCAGATCTATGGTACAAGGAGTCATCTAATTCCCGCACATGCATGATGGGGCCTGGTATGAAAACAACAATCCTGTATCAAAGAACAAAGACCTGCAATGACTAGAAATGCATGGAGAGTCTTCACAATCTGTTGACCCTCAACCTCAGCTAAATCTGATGCCTCCTTTTGGTTGGTGCCTAAGGAAACCCGGATGTTAGAGCAGAGTGTGCCACGCAGAAGAAGCGACACCGCAGCTTGTATGTTCAGGAGGCTCTCGGATGAGCGACGAAACTCTGCAGATGGATCCATTTTCCCAACAAGGGATCTGCACACCCCACAGCGTCAGCTTTCCTTGCGAAGACATCGCTGAGACCTCTCAGTACAAGGGTGCCATCTTTAAACAAACTATTTTAAATGTTTTCTCCGAACATCAAGATTCCTCCTTTGTCATAAACAACAGTGTGGTTTCCTGAAAACTGCCCTGTAAGTTCTCTTGGTTTGCTCAGATTTTGGTGTTTTGCTCCCCATAGTGAAAGACTAAAAAGATAGAAGTTTAAATATTTGAACTTTTCACAAAGGGTTTTTAATGATCAGAATATGACCTAGTTTTTATTCACTTCAGTTTATTTGTATCGGGTCATTTCAGGACACATGTAATCTCAATGCACTTTATAGAGACAATTCAACCAGACCATACGGTCAAACTGATTTGAAGTTTTATATCTAATAAAAACCATTTGATTGCATTAACTCATTGACTCAAAGGCAATCCCTCAAGCCAAGCATGCTTGTAGCGACAGTAGAGAGGAAAAACTCCCTTTTAACAGGAAGAAACCTCCAGCAAAACCAGACTCACTGTGAGCGGCAATCTGCTGAGGCTGACTGGGGTTTAAAGAGACAGAAGCAGAGATACAGAAAGAAGCAGAGATATAAAAGGCAACTGTCAACCAGCTCCACAGGCGGCCCCGTCCAGCCAGCTCCAATTTCAGAGGATGAAAGGGAGCACATCGAGCGAGTCATAATCAGAGAAACAGGACTACACTGTATAACAGGCTGATCTCGGACATGTATAAACAAAGGTGTTGATGGCAGCAGCACAGCTGATGTTTCTCTCCAGGATGGAGTCACAGCCAAACAGGAACAGACCAGATGAAGCTACTATGAGAAATAGCAGAGAGAGCAGAACGTTAGAGGTTGAACTAACAAATGCAGAGTGGGAGAATAGAGATAGAATGATGAAATGGGGGTCCCTATGTCCTCCAGAAGTCTAAGCCTATAGCAGCATAACTATAGAGATAGCTCAGGATAACCTGAGCCACTCTAACTATAAGCTTTATCAAAAAGGAAAGTTTTAAGCCTACCCTTAAAAGTAGACAAGGTGTCTGCCTCACGGACTAAAATTGGTAAAAGATAACTGATAACTGCCTCCCATTCTATTTTTAGAAATTCTAGAAACCACTAGTAAACCTGCAGATTGAGAGCGAAGTGCTCTGTTAGGAACATAAGGAACAATCAGATCTCTGATATAAGATGGAGCTTGGCCATTTAAGGCTTTATATGTGAGAAGGAGGATTTTAAATTCTATTCTGGATTTAACAGGAAGCCAAAGAAGAGAAGTCAGGATAGGAGAGATATGATCTTTCTTTTTAATTTTCATCAGAACTGTGGCTGCAGCTTTTAACTACAGTTTGTGGACTTCCTGATTGTAAAGAAATACAATCACAATTCGCAGATGAAAGAAGGAAATTCTAGAAACCTCATGTGGGATTTAAATGACAGGTCCTGATCAAAAATAACACAGAGGTTTTTTACTTTATTATCTGAGATAAATTTAATCCCATCCAAACAATGTAACTGACTAATCAGATACTTTGTCAGACTCTGGTCCAAAGACTATAACTTCTTTTATGACTGTATGTAATTAAATAAGGTAATTCCTGGATATCTAAGTGATATTTATCAACATTAAGCTTCTAGAATTCTTTGCAAAAGTATGCATACTGTCTAATCCTAACATTTTGTCATGTTACACCAAATTATAAATATTTTGAAGGGGAACTGTGTTACAGACCAACACAAATTCTTTAAAACATAATAAACATTTGAAAGCGAAGATGTTTTTTTTTTTTCAATTTTTTTCGTACAGGCAAGATTTGTGGTGTGAACAACTTATCGCTCCAGCATATTCCCCCACCTGAGCGTTACCCTCTGTAGCTCTCCCAAAGTTACTCTGAAACAGTTCCCATAGTGTTGTATACTTTTGCAAGCTCCAATATGTGGTGTAAAATTTGTCTGTCAACTTTAACTATAAAGAAATGTATAAAGTAGATAAAGTATTGGGTTATGTGTTTATATTTGTCTAGATCAATATATAAAGGTTCTTGTACAATGCAACTTTTTAAAAGCTGACCTTGTTTTATTATAGCCCAGGTGTTAAGATTAACCTAACCCTAACCCTACCATCAATGGTATCATGTGTTTGAATTTCTCACTTTGAATTATATCAGTTTTTAAGCACTAAAAATGAGGACCAAAACATGCAGTAATGTCACTTACACTCAGGTTCCTTCCTGATTGTGCAGAACAACCTTTAGAACACATCGTTGTTAGGGTGGAGGTAAGAGTAATTTAAATGTGGCTGACTGTCTGTTTTGGGATGTATTTCAGTGCATGGAGCAGTGGCTGTGGATGAGACAGACATGCCCAACATGCCGTGTCCACATCTCGGTGATGAGGCCTCTCTACTGTACTTCGTCTCGTACCACTGTCCCATGAGGATGTAATGCCTGCATCTTACCTCCAGCACATTGCAATTACCCCTTCCAGTGCATGACAACCCTGTTCTAGACCTTCTTCATGTCTTAGAACAACAAGGACCTTCCAGGAGAAATACAGACAGACTTTATCACATACAACCAATTACTGAGCTCTGAGAAGACAATGACAAACTGCTCGATTTGATTCGGGTTTGAGCGTTGACCTTCACATAATAACTAAAGGAAACGCCCAGGGAACTCAGCTCCAGACAACAGGCAGTGTTGTATTTAAACAAACTTCTAAAGGAATGCCAATTCGCTAAGGCTTCACCTCAACGTACATCTCTAAAAACAGAGGACTGAGTCGGAAACATTTTAATTTGGATGTGTTAATAATGCAGCTTAACTCAACAATGTTGCATAATAAATTCAAAACAGCTGATTTTATTCTATTGTTGTTCATTGTTACCCACGGACAAATTAAAAAGGCCTTAACACTTGACAATCAGTTCAATTAGATCCGTAAAACCCTAAATTAATATTCCATTATTTCCCATCATAAGAACATACATTTCACCAATATATTCCAAAAACATCCCTTAGAGATAAAAAAAGGGTTTTTTTTTTTATTAATTAATTTATTTTTTGCATTAGACACAAGAAGGGGCTTTCAAATACTTTTCAAATCTAATTTCCAATCTACACTGCCTCCCTTCCTTAGCTGTAAAGCCAGCTGGAACAGCAGAGGAGCGTTGGGTGTGTCCAACCTGCACCGGCTTGCCGCAGGTCAGAGTAGCTAGTGGGACTAAGAAAATAAATGATGGGCATCGCCAACTTTCTAAGCAGTTTCTTAACATGTAGAGCTACGTCTGCCATCATCTCTAAGCTTTTAAAGACAACTGTGTGCCCTTCACTGCTTAATGCAATGTTTACTGTGTGTGCAGTAAAAGTAAACGTTAGCGTATATCGTGCATCTATTTTAAGCATGTGCAATTATAGGCTGCTAAAATGATCCTATTTAGCGAGTGACAGATCTAGAAAATTTCACATGGGGGAGAGAGGAGACAGGTTGGAATTCTCAATCTCTCAAGGAGTTAACAAAACATAAAAGAAACCCTTTGAAATTTTTATTTTGTCATCTTTTCTCCAAAGGAAGAAAGACAATTTTAAGTATAAGCTCACTGAGAAAGATGTTCTACAAAATAAGAGAGAAATTAATAAAGAGAACAATTAAAAAAACACCTAAATGATCATAATGGAATGATTTTAGCTGTCACTTTTATGAGTGTTTACATTGTTTTTATCTTATACTATTGCTTTTCATGCTGTTTGCAAGGTACACCAAAGGAAGTTGTATTTCAGTTTTGTTGTACCCTGTATAGATTATTCTATTCGATTCTGTTCTATTAAATTCTATTCAATATTTCTGCAGTGGAATTTATACAGAAAATAACTATATCAGGAGGTGCAGTTGCATAGGCTGGATTCCCTGACTTTGTAGCTTCCTTTTCTGCATCAATTCCACTTATGCTAAGATAGTTTTCCTCATCTTCAGTCATCTCTACAGCTGTTACAGTCTCGTTATAACTCTTCTTTCCTCATATCTCACAGTCCTTTTTCTTTATTCTAATACCTCATTTGTTGTGACAGAAAGTAGAAATGTCATAACTTTCATTTTCATTTTGATAGGCAAGCATCAAGATTTTAGAAAATTAGCACTTTACATATGTATAGTAAAAATGTCATATATATACTGTATATATATATATATATATATATATATATATATATATAACAAGATCAGTATTTCTTTTTTTTTTATTTTACGCATCCTGTTTAATAATATAGCACCAAGAACTGATGTCTAGGTGCTTCAACGAGCTTCACAAAGCTCCACTTCATCATTGTACCGTATGAAACTTTATTAGACTATTCTTTTTTAAATAAATGTCAGTGTCTATAATTTTTATTTGCATTCATCTTATTTACATGTACACTCCTATCATATAATCATAACAGCGCTGCCCTTATAAAATCTAAAAAGAAGTATTCAAATGTGTTAAAATCCTACAATAGCTAAGGAATAAAAGAGCTCTCTCATACCTTGCTGAGAGAAACAAACCAAACCTGCTAAAGATGTTATCAATAATTTAGCCTTCATTAATTTACATGTGTCAACAAAACGAATATGAGCTAACAGCTAAAGGACTGATAGGCTCCCACAATTTTTTTCACACGAGTTTACATCTACAGAAAGGTGCTGTTTGGCAATCAAAAATTATATCTTATCATCTATATGATATGTAGACGGTGCTGATTTTGCTCCCTCTTTAGCAATTGCTCAACTTAAACTATAAAGAATTACTTTGGAGGACAATCATTATTTTGTTTCTATCTAACCCTTGTTTGTTTTTTTACAGTCCAAATTTTGCATAGGTTCAACCAGCGCATCTCTGCATTTGGCTGGGAAAACACAAGCCACAAAATACATGCTGTTATATTTTGGTGTAGGAGGTAGAGCTTGGAATGGAAATTAAAAAGACAGCACTGCATAGAGAAGTGGTTCCCAAACTATTTCTACCTAAGGCACACCATATGACAAAAATTTCAAGGCACGCCTGTTGTGCTGAATAGCCTACAACATGTGTTATAACTCAAATGATCTGTAAAGTTCATAATTATTTGCTGATGCCAAATAAAATGTGACTGTTAAGGTTCAGAAAAGAGGACCCAGGTTTCAAAGCAGATAGACAGTTTGATGTTGTGTTTATTAAGAGTAATGGATCTGCAGTGAACAGCGAGGGTGCAAAGACAGGAACCCCTGCAGGAAGAGAACACAGGTTGGTGACCACGTCAATCCTGCGGAGGATGATTATGAACGTGTGAGTCACTAACCTGGTATTGAAGTTCAGCCCGTGATTCCATTTCAGCGAGATTCCATTCTGGTTCCAGACTCATTCATCGAGGCGGATGCCCAGAGAGTCCCAGACGTTGAAGTTCCAAAGGTTGGAGAACAGGCACAAGATCAGATCAGAGCAGACGAAGGTAGACAGGATAATCCAGAGGATGAAGCCAAAGCTGGTGTCGAGGAGCTGCTCAGGAGTCTGGGCCAGAAGATCAGAGATCCAAAGAAGTACTGAAGGGAAATCCAGGACAGTGTCAGGAATCAGTTCCAGGTTCGGTAAACAGCCAAAATCCAGCAGGAGCTGAAGACAGATCAGGCAAACAGATCAGAAAGAGTCCCAAATGCACAACGGGTCAGGACAAACACAACTATATTACTCATGAAATATTTGTTAACAACATATTCTAAAGAAAAATCTAAACTTGATAAAATTGGGCTTAATCAAACACACTCATTTAAACCAGACAGGTGAGAGAAATGAAACAGAAATTCAGAATGGAAATGTCAATCAGAAATCTGCAATGTTCATGGTCCTAAATCTGACCCATAAATTATAACTCTAACATTTAGAATCACTCATATATGTGCTTTTGTAAATATTACACCTACTAACAAATTAGTGGGACCCCTGTGGCTGTCGGTGTGTTTAATCCTTGGTGGCACTGAGGACAGAGCGCCTCTCAAGTCCTGCTCAACAGACAGCCATGACATGGTCTTGTTTTTAACAATGGTGGAGCATGCCAGTTCACGGAGGTAGGAGGTAGGAGGTAGGACGTAGGACGTAGGAAAATGCAAAAGTTGGTTAATAGCGTGGTGGGAGATGTTTTGGTATTCTAAAGCACAAATGTGGAAAATAGTGCTTAAACCTCCCTTTTAAGTTTTGAAGGTAGCTGGCATATACAGCGCACTCTGTAGCTGCATGTGTCGCAGCTGATTCCAGCAGGAAAATGTCCATGGAGCTCCGTTCCAAAGGCTTGCGCCACAAGGTTGGTTTGGCCATAAACCCCTGACTCTTGTCTGTGGATGCTAAAATGTTTTCATTCCTACCCTGAAGCTTGCTGTTTAACTCCAAATCCCATGGCACAATTGGACTTGCCTCACGGAACACCAGCGTGCCATGGCACACTGTTTGGGAACCATTGGCATAGAGGATAGAATAAGACAACAAATTACATGGATAGATTAACTTTGCAGACAATAAAAAATATGCATCCTAATTTAAATGCACATAAATAGCAGACAGTTAGAGTGGATCAGGTTATCTTGAGCTACCTATATAGTTATGCTGCTATAGACTTAGATTGCAGGGGTACATAGGGACCACTTTTCATCATTCTGCCTAATTTGGTCTCTATTCTCTTTCTTCTGTATGTCTGTTTCTGTCTCCTTGGCAGAAATTTGCTCACACTGAGCCTGGTTCTGCTGCAGGATTCTTTCTGTTAAAAGAGAGGTTTTCCTTAACACTGTCGCTGCATGCATGCTTGATGTGAGGGATGCTGTAGAGTCTGACAAAATGAGAGCAAATATCTACTGTTTCTACATGCTCACCCAGAAGGAGTGTGTCCTGCAAGTCCATTACTTGTCTTCCTTAAAGCTGATTTATACTTCAGAACTAGGTCGTCTGCGTAGGTGTGGCGATGATTTTGCCCTCATGTCCCTCCGTTGTCGCCCAAACTTTCCCCCACTTCCTCAACGCCATATCTAGACCCACAGCTAGTTCGTGATTGTCCCTCTTGCGTTGTGGGGTTGAATAACATAGAGCAGACCACACTTCAAAATTGAGCATAATTCAAAAATGTCTGCATTATACCTGCGACAAGCTCACAGCGACACACTGCTGTAGAATAACCAGCCCTTTTGATAGAAGCTTTGAATTAATCTGACCGGACAATTTAATTGAATTGTCTCTGCAAAGGGCCTTAAAATGACATGTGATGTGAATTGCCACTATGTAAATAAACAGAGTTTAATTGGATTCAATTGGGTTTAATTTAATTAAATAAAAAAAATTAATAGTGTGTTAATCTGGCAGGCAGTTGTTCTATCTCCCTCATGTTTCCATTTGTGTAAGACTGGTCAATCATGTGAAAGGTCTTATATGGCAAGCAAAATATGCAAAATGGTTTATTCCCTATATTTCTTTAATGTCTAAAAATTTTATAATATTTTTTATTGGTGAAACTTACTAATGTAAGTTTCACCAATAAATAAATCTTTGGTTGTTGGTTGTTTTATTCTAACTTAAGGTGTATTTTATTGCCAAGATGTATATGGATTGTAGATAAGGTGAATGTAGTGATTTGAGTCGGAGTTTGTTCCATGAAGAGAAAAGAGAACCCCAAGGTCATATTGGATAAATCAACAAAAAACTACAAAGATGCACAAGAGGAACTGAAGAGTATCTGAGAAGGAAAAACAACAGCAAGTTGATGTGTAAGAGGATAACTGTTGGGCAGGTGGTCGGTAAAACAGGTGAGAACAACAGCATTTCAATGCAGCATAACTAATGAGCTGAAAGAAACTGACTAGTTAAGATAGAGAGGAACACACAGGGATCTAAATAGGACAGAAAACAAATAGAACACAGATTACCAAGTATGGAACGGAACTGAAAAGAAATAATCACAACCCAAAACGATCCACTCACGAAACATGATTATGTGAAAATCAAAATACAAGATAAAATCCTTTATGTTTTTTAAAATATTATAAGTATCTTTGCATTGAAAACTAATCTAGACCACCGCTGTGTTTCACTACAACATGATGATCTGTTAATTGATGGCACAGTTTTCTTTGATTATTTTTGATCCAATTTTCTCTCACATAATAACAACCCCTACTGCTAAAAAATAACATAAAAATATAATCTAATCTATAACCAGTACTCGAGTTGAGGGGGGGATGGCATCACCCTTCTTAAACAAATCTTTAAAATCCTCCCCCTTCTTAAATGATCCTCCCCCATACCATTACCTGTGACATTTTATTACTGAATGTGTAAAATTTCTACTATATATGGCAATATTGCCCTTTCAACATTTGACGGGCTGTGGGCTTACGTGTAGCCTGAGCAAAATAAATAAAACCAAAGAAGTGTCCTACCATGACTATGAAGCTGATCCCAGTGAAATTAGTCCCTTACTATGTAGGGGCAGTGATAGCCATGCCAGTCCAGGGACTGACTGCAGTTCTACTGTAAGATGCCTTGGTTATTGACGAGCGTACCTGACATGTAACAACAGGGGGTCCGTGACCCCTAGGGGGTCCGCATAGGTACAGCATGGGGGTTGCGAAAGTTTTGGTTGATTACACTCTTTTTTTTTTTTATATTCCCCCCTGCAAATTTTTCCACTAAACAGATAAATGGAGGCAGAAGATGTCCTTCAGGCATCAATGCACACATTCAGAGACACACAGGAGCTCTTTCGAGCACCATTTCATTCACAACACCTGTCCCATCAACCAGGAATCAGAATCAGAAATACTTTAATAATCCCAGGGAGAAATTACTTTCGTTACATTACACCATCTGTAATAGAGTGACTATAGGACCGGTTTGATAGAACACAATTTACAATACTATATATGTATAATTAGGGGTCCCCGCTCCATCTCACCCTCAGTTTGGGTCCTTGGCCTGGAAAACGTTGAGACCCCTGCATTAGGCTATGTATGCTTCCAAAAAAAAAAAGAAAATTACATCATCCCACTTCTTTTTTTTAGAACTAGACTACTGTCTATAACTGATCTGATTCATGAATTATTCATGATTCATATGTAAATAAAAAATGTAAATATTTTAAACAAAATACGTTTTAATAGAATATTAAGTTTTCTTTGCTTAATATATATACATATATATGTGTGTGGATGTGCCTGTAGTGCGCCAGCTGTTTGCTGAAAGGCCTGCCATAATAGACTCTCTCCCTTGCTGAGAGGAGCTTCTGAAAGTAAAGTGAATTCAGGGAGGAGGAAGGCTATCTTTAATCAGAGAGGAGTCTTCCTCCTCCTCCTCCAGCTGCAGTGTACGTGCCCGGGCTCTTGTTCCACCACACGGCCTCCCTCTCTTCACGGAAAATAACGGTTTCCTGCGAGGAGAGAGACGGACTGGGCCGAGCTCGAGCGGGCGGAGAAAAAGTGCACACGTGGACACCTCAGACCGACGACTCGGATAGCCAATGATAGCCCGGCGTTGTTACGTCAGCGCCCTCAGGTCCTCCAATGGGATGACTTCGTTCTTTTTTCCCGGAGCACCATAGGCCTACATTGCAAGTAGGGGAAAATAATGACCCTAAGTAGCAAAAAAAAAAAAAAAAAAAAANAGGAATCTGGATAACAGGCTGCAGATGTTTACTCTGCGCTGAGCCCTAGACAGAAGATACATCCTTTCTCTTTTCCTGGGGAATCATGATCTATGTGGTGGGAAAAATAGGACGAAATATTTTTTCTTCCTGAAATACTTGATGCGATATATATTCTTTTTATCTTCGGAGAGGAAAAAACTTAGGTAAGACCAAGTTTTTTTCTCCTTTTCACACCGTCTGAGAAGTTGAAACTGTGGAGTTATACAGAACTGTAAAAATAAAATACTTTTAAACCTTTTGTTTTATTAGATGGAAAACATTATTTTAACAGTACAGTATTAACCATACGTATTGTTTTTATTACCAAATAGAGTCAGTAAACATGATGTTATTTAACTGTCAGCAAATAGTGTTTAAAAAAAGTAAAAAAATTAAATTAAAAAAAAGGACTAAACTTATATAAATAGATCGCGGGCATCTCTAACCTGGTTTTGTCTATAAAGTTCACCTTTAAAAATATAAAGTTAATTAATTTAATGAAGAACTAAAGTGAATATTTATGTGGCAACTGTAAATATCTTACAGTGCTGTAGAAAATATCTGCTCCATAACAAATTATTTTCTTAATGTTATTTTTGTCATAATAAAAGTAATAAAACACATTTAATCAGATAAAGTATACTCAAATAAATAGAATGAAAGCTGTTCTAATTATAATTTATTTATAAGGAAAACTATTCAACCCAAACATACAGGTTTTTGTTTGTTTGTTTGTTTTTTTGCAAAACAGGTGGTTTGTGTCAACTCCATACAACATCTGTAATGTCTACTTTTAAACGAAGGGATTATTGTCCTCTTGGTTTTAATTGGATGGTTTTTATTTATGTACAGCTAATAAAAATTCATTTTATGCAGCATCTTAATGAGAATTCAGCCTGTACTTTAACGAGTCTTTATTAAGATCCAGTGGCGGTTCTAGACCAAATGTACCAGGGGGCCAGGAGGAGGCCAGAGTTTTTCATGGGGGCCCAGAAAAGCATGGAATAAATACTACGGCAAGGGATTCAAATATATTAGGAAAGCTGCATGAAGTGAAATTTTTATTCAATTAGGTTTTATAAAAATTCTATTTCTTATTAGGTTAATATACATTCATAATTTAGGAATTTTACATATTTTTCACTTAATTTAAGTAAAAATTCCAATGTTCTGTAAAATCTGAATTAGAACTCAAGATAAACTGATGAATTCAGCAGTAAAAAATTAGAGTATTTTTTTTAATTTATTTTGAGAAAAAAAAACATTTAGCAGATGAAAACTGGGATCCCATCTCAGTACCACTGAAGCTATCGCCTTATTGTTTTTTAATAATTAGAAAAATATAATTTGTAAAGACACAAAATGAAATAGATCCAAAGGACCTATCAGTAACCGTGTCTGTTCCAGCACATATCATCATTAGAATGCCCTTTAAGTATTATTTCTTCAGTACAGGGGCCATAACAGGGACCAGGACATGATTTACAGGGGCACTGGCCCTCGTTGGCCCCTGTCTTGAACCGCCCATGTTAAGAACCAAATATCTTGTATGCTTTTCATAATTTTGCTGCTGCTTAACATAAAAAGATTCAGCCTAAAATCATGGAATCATAACTTTTTTGTTTTCTCCATCTGTTGCTGACACATCTCATTAAATTCCCTTTTATCCTATAGATCACTATGTGCCCTTTCTGAACTGATATATGTTATTGACTATGACTCTACTTTATCTAAACTTTCCTGAGACCAGACCTTGCCCATATGGCAACATGTGAGTGAATCAATGTTGAAGCATTGTTAGGCAGAAATATAGANCCTCTGCAGTGTGTCTCGGTATATTCCGCATCCTTTCTTCGCTTTTAACATCGCTGTTTACTCGTCTTTGTGCTCTTTCTCGGTGCTGTTTTAGGTCTTTGTTTACCGTAGCAACTAGCTGCCAATATGGCGGCGTACCCAGAATGCAACGCGCTGTGCCCGAGCCTTATTGAGCAGTAAAAATTAGAGTATTTTTTTTATTTATTTTGAGAAAGAAAACATTTAGCAGATGAAAACTGGGATCCCATCTCAGTACCACTGAGCTATCGCCTTATTGTTTTTTAATAATTAGAAAAATATAATTTGTAAAGACACAGAATGAAATAGATCCACAGGACCTATCAGTAACCGTGTCTGTTCCAGCACATATCATCATTAGAATGTCCTTTAAGTATTATTTCTTCAGTACAGGGGCCATAACAGGGACCAGGACATGATTTACAGGGGCACTGGCCCTCATTGGCCCCTGTGTTGACCCGCCCATGTTAAGGACCAAATTTCTTGTATGCTTTTCATAATTTTGCTGCTGCTTAACACAAAAAAGATTCAGCCTAAAATTATGGAATCATAGTTCGATGTTTTTGGGGGGATTATTTTTTTTTATACAGAGTGAAAATCATGATTCACTATGTTTAAGAGAGTCATCCAGGTACTGAAGCAGCTAATGCTACTCCTAGGAAGGTTCGTCACTGTTTTGTGTTTTCTTCATCTGTTGCTGACACATCTCATTAAATTCCCTTTTATCCCATAGATGACTCTGTGCCCTTTCTGAACTGATATATGTTATTGACTATGACTCTACTTTATCTAAACTTTCCTGAGACCAGACCTTGCCCATATGGCAACATGTGAGTGAATCAATGTTGAAGCATTGTTAGGCAGAAATATAGAATCCATGTTGAGTCTGACATTGCAACGAGTGCTCAGTGACTTCAATATTCAATCTATTCAAAATTATTTTTAAAATGATATCTAAATTTAGATCTAGATGTATATTTGTGTTGATTATTGTATAAATATTTATTCATATAAATTTCACCTCATAGGAAAAGTCCGGTCAGCAAGGAATGATCAATGGATCATTATTTATGCCTGAACCTATTACGTTTTTGGTGATTTTATGAATTTAGCGTTAATAAAAAAAATTAAAAAATAATTTTTGTCACGATCACCGAGTCTGGGAGCGGCCATTTTTGCCTAAATATAGTAATGCCTCACACCTATCACCTTCTGGCAGTGACTTCATGGTGCAGTAAGCCTAGTGCCGTTCTAGCGCCCACACGCATGGCAGTTGGATGTTGTATTATATCGGGTAAAAGGGGGAAAAATTGTTATTTCACCTTTCCGATACTTGAAGAGGAAGGATTTGCCATCAAACTTCTGGCCAGAGAAAAAACACATCATATGTAGCCAACATTTGGAAGAATGTTTTCAAAATGACTTAGATAATAGCACATTGTGACAAACACCAGATACAGCACTGGGACTTGCTCAACAGCTGATACCGCACCATGACGTCACAAACCGATAGGTGGCAGTAGTGTTCTTTGACAAACATGGATGTCTCCAGTAAAGCACATTCAAATTAAAATTACTCTGACTTAAAACACTTATCATTTATTGAAAAGTATGTCATAATTTTATATTAAAAGTACTTTTTAGAAGTTTAAATTCTGAATATGACCAGACTTTTCCTTTAAAATATCCACTGTGAAGTCAATAAGAAAGGCTTTCTACTGACAGGTCTACATCATACCTTTACAAGTCTCTTTATTTGATACTGATGTTAAACACACAGGCGTCTGGCAAACATCCGCCCTAACCCCTCAATCACTATATAGGGTGGGGACTATATAGTGGACTTCATAGTGAACTCAGTTAACTGACTGTTCGGACAGATGATCACTCCATGTTGGACACATAACTTCTCCTTCCTGCACAGTGCCGACGCCATTTTTGTTCTGTCTTGCCGACACACTAAACCCCATCATGCTTTGCGAGGAGAGCTCTCCTCGCAAAGCATTCTGGGATATATTTGCTCATCTAGTGACCATGGATGATCACTACTTTTCAAGGTGCATTGTGGGAAATTTAGAGTCCACTACTTTTCTATCTACTAGATGTTCAGACATTCATTTAAATAATTAGGGCGACATTCCGAAACAGCCAATATTGTTGGTGGACAATTGGCAGTATGTATGTCCTTCAAAATGATCTTACATCACCATGTCTCCAAAAATGTGTGAACACAAACATTAATATTGAACTTTATAAAGCACACTATACGCTTTTCCAGAGGTTGATATAAGCAGAGAAGGCAAATGATGTAATGTTGAAGGTCTGAGAATTTCATCATGGCTTTGAACCTCTACAAACTTTAGGTTTATTGTTGCAAAAAGGTTGGGGTCTTACTGCCACCATTAACAATGACCAGTTAACCAGGAAAAGGTTTCCACAGCAACAGCCAGGGGACAGTCAGAAACAGGTTGCAAGACAAAAAACAAACACTGATTCAACATTGATTAGAGATTGTTTTTTCAGTCATTAGAATTTATTCCTTCATTCAATAACATCTTTATAACATGGGTTAATTGGCTAGAATTGAATGAGTGTTTGATGGTTGATACACCATCAAGCTTTAACCTTAAGCAAAAATCAAACTTCTTTATCATAATTTAACATTAAACAACATATTTTACTATTTGGGTTATATGTTGCAATTTAAGCCCCTTCAGCCTACTTCTGTCACGGTCTTGGTTCTGTTAAGTTTTCACTTTTACTTTGCTCCATGTTTTCTAGTTTTATTGGTTTAATTCCTATTTTGTTGTGTTTTCTGGGTATATTTGAGTTCTTAGGTTTTTTTGGCTAGCCCTTTGTTGCACTCTGGTGTTGGACTCCTTTTCCCGAGCTCCTTCTAGAAGCCTCTGTTCACACCTGCTCCCAATCAGCTCGTTAGTCCTGCCTTTCTTCAGTCAGCTATAAATACTCTCCCTGTGCAGTTACTCAGTGCTGGTTCCTCCTCTTAAGGGCTAGTTATACTCCCCGCAGCAGTGTGTCGCAGTGAGCTTGACGCAGATATTTTTGATTTATGCTCAATTTTGAGCGTGGTCTGCACTCTACCATGTTGGTCAAGATACGGCCGAGGCGGCGAGGAAGTGGGGGCGAGTTTGTCCGACAACAGAGGGACATGAGGACCAAAAATAGCGGGGATCCAGGTGGAAAAAGGGTCCCAGCATTCTCGCGCACCTCGCTCTTCTAGCTGGCCCAACTTCACCTACGCAGACAACCTAGTTTCAAAGTATAAATCAGCCTTTACCCTGGCTCCTTCTGATTGTTTTCCCCTGATGTCTCCATAGTTCTGGTTTGTGTTACATTTTAGGTTGGATTTTGGATTCCTGCCTCTGTTAACTGTTATCATTAATTAAAACTGCAAGAACTCACCTCTGCCTCCCTGCCTCTGCATCTGGGTCCTCAAAACCTCAACCAAACCCTGAGAAATTCATGTTGTGAGACTGGTTCTGTTCAGGGGATTTCTGTATTCTGTCAGTAATCAGGCCTGGGTGTGGCCACTCAGCTTTCTAATAGGTTGGTTTAGATAGAATTTTGGTACTTAATAAATAAAATCACCATTAAAAATAGAAGTTTTTGTATTTACTCAGGTTTTGATTGTTTGGTTAATGAAATTAGTTTGATCTTTAACATTGAAGTAAACATAAAACTGGCTGTGAATACAGTTAGTACTTTATGGCATGTAATGTAGTCAGCCGGATTTATTTTAGAAACTGAAGTATCCTGTTTGTACTTCAGTAAATTATCAAAATAAACCTTCACCACCCAGATGATGTTGTCGACTCTGTGATTCATTTGCGCGGACTCTGATGAGTCTTCCGATGGCACTTCAGTGACACGAGCAGGGCCTTTGCTGTGGCTGCTGAAGTGTTTTCCTCAGCTTGAAGAGACTGCATAGGGAAAAGGGCCATCTGACACACAGATGAGCTCAATTTAACATCTCAAACAGTGCGCTTTAAATCAGGACTCACTGTTCAAAAGGGTCCCTGTGAACTCTGTCTGACATTTCCATCACAAAGGAGAGTAGACCCAGGGACTGTAGCTTCATTTTGTGCTGTTGTTGATGCTCTGCCGCGCTTTTTCTTTTGATTATTTCATTGCTGAATGGAGCTGATTGTTCAGCTGCATACACACTTTTTTTTATTACAGTCTATTTTAAACAACAGCTCTTATAAATAATGTTCTGATTTAATTATAGAATAAAGTTGTTTAATCCTTAAAAAGGCTGCAAACCATGGGACATTATGTGGTAACCCATGCACAGCAGAAATGCAAAAACAAGCTTTATAGCTGTAAAAGTGCAAGCCGTCAGCCTAACAGACTCTCCAGGAGATGCACGTCTGCTGCGGTGTCTGGAGGCCTGTGGCCATCGTGGCTAATTATGCCGCTGCTGCTGTTTAGCTTGATTACAGCCACTCCTTCACTTTTTCCGTCTTGTTTTAAAAAGCTTTCCTGTCTTGGTTCTCTTTGATCTTTCTAATGTGCATTCATATAACAAACACCACTGCAAAAGTATTAACCTCATTTGTTTTTTTCCTATTTATTTATTTCTTGATGTATTACCTCTAATTTCAATGTTTTCTACTATTTTTAATGCTGGATCTGTAATAATAATCTAGGTTGGCAGAGTGAAATGAGAAAAATATATGTAGATAAAAAAAAGTTTAAAATTGCATCTTGTCTCCACCCCATTTTCTATGAAGGTGCTAAAAAAGTTCTGGTGGAGCCAATTTACTTTAGAAGTCATAAAATTTGTGGAAAAAAAGAGGTCTATTTGTGTGCAATGGAAGGTTATTTACACCTGCCACGTTTGGAGCTCCTTAAAGAGGCCAAACCAGGACTGGCTCTGCAGACACAGATGGCTGTCTGGGGCGCCATCTGCTGGACAGGGTGCCAAATTGCAGAATGAAAACAAAACAATAAACTCATAAGTCTCTATTATGAAACAATGAAAGCTTTTGCTGTTAGAAAGTCCAGAAGTGTTCAGTTGTGAATTTAAGAGATGTTTTGGTGTTTTAGGTTGTCTTTTGTGGAAATAGCCCACAATCTTTTTTGTCTTGGTCCAAACCTAAAATAAAGGCACTATAACATATTTTCCTTGAGAGTAGAACTTAGTCCATATTATGGTATAATTTTTTTAAAGCTTTATTTATAACAATGTTGACCAAAATAGAAAGCTGATTTTTTTTTTTTTTTTTTTTTTTTACAATTTTTAAAATATTTTTTGCTTCTGATTGTACAGTTTTATGCTGTTTTTTAATTTTGTACTTCATCCCCCATTACATTTGCAAAACATTAGATTATTGTTAATAGTTCCCACGTTGTTTATCCTTCAAGTTTACATTTAATCTTTAGTGTTTTCTTTCAAAGTTGTTGTCTCAACCTTTATATTTGAGTTCGTTAGACTTATTGTACAGACAGAATCAGAATGCAGAGCTTCTACCTATCTTGAAATTTTGTTTCTAGGATCATTATATCAGTAAAGAGGTTTTCTAAATGGTTTTAAACAGAGACCAGAGAGAAAAAGGGAGAGCTGCAGATTTAAAGGTGAAACAGATTTACTGGGGTATGCAACATGCAATAATATATATATATATATATATATATATATCTCCAAGTTTACAAGAAGGTTTACAAAAATAAAAACCTATGCTATATTCAAAATTCAGCATGTCCATATTTTTCTGGATGGATGGAATTGAAATCGTACATTCTAGGGATGCATGATATCAATTATGACATCGGAATCGGCTGTTATTTCTTATTTTCTTATACAATATATATTATTGTTGACAGTTGAGCCATAATGAAATCTAGCTACAATGAAATACAAGTAACTTGTCTATTAATTCTATATTTAAGGAGTAGAAAGTGCATGATTCAAATGTCAGGAATAAAAGTAAAACATTACCCAAATAATAATTACTCCCGTAAAGTATACATAAGTACAAAACAATTATACTTAGAATTCTCTTCAATCGGTGAGAGAGGATATTTAATAAATCTCCCTGCAGGATTAAGGTAAAGATGACTCTGGTTTCCTCTCCTACAGGTGCTGAAAGTCATGGGCAGCTTCAAGGGCCACGCTCTCCCAGGGAGCTTCTTCCTGTTGGCGGGGATTTGGTGGACAGGAAAGTTCTCGCTCTGGTATGCGACCCGCAAGAACAAAAGCTTAGGCTCTGCTCGACTTGCCAGCAGAGCCTCGCAGCGACGTGTCGAGGTCATCGAAAGCTCCCTTATTCTCTTCTTTTCTTTTGTTGGTGAGCAGGTCCTATTTTCTTCTTCTGGGATTTAAAAGCTACCTGCCGATAAGTCCACTTTTAATGAATATTTCTTCCTCTGTGATCCGCAGGTATGGTCGGCGAGCAGTTTGTAGCAAATGGGCCAAAGCTTCATTTGTACAACTTTGCAGACAAACACTGGGAGCAGCTGCATATCTGGCAGCATACAACCATGTACCTGTTCTTTGGACTGGCTGCCATCGTGTCTCTGATTATCCACACGACAGAGGCAGCACCGGTAGCACTGGATAGGTTGATGCTGGCCATAGCATTCTTTAATGAAGGTTTGTTTGGAAAACAAAAAAAACTCACATCTCTTGTACCAGCCCTGAATATAATGTAAAAGTTTTTATTTCCTTTAAATTCATAGGGAAGTCATATTTAAATTTCAAATCATTCTGGCTTATAAATGTACTCTTTATCAGTCTATATTGTCCCAAAATTTAGAAAATTTCTATTTAAAAATAGATCCCTTCTTAAAATGTGTGGTTTTTTTCGTTATATTATGCGGGCCAGTTAGTTATATGTCAGCTTGTACACCTAAATTCAGCCAATCATCTGTCAATCAAATTTTTTCGGTCATAGCATCTTCATTCATATGTCTCAGCTAATATACGCAACAGTTAAAATAAGAAATAAGAATCATTTCCTTTCCCATTGAGTTCCGTCCAAGTGTTCACAGGGATTGATGTCTGTGTCTTCAGCAGGCGTAGAACTAACAGAACTGGCAGCGTTGGGAGGCAAGGGCTCAAACATGTACGGCTGTAAGCCTTCTACACTAAACCAAGCTTCTACCGCCCTGGCGTCCTCTTCCACAACATCTTTATCACCGCTTTCCTCCTCTTAATAAAAAATGTATGATGAAGGAGACTCATCCAAGACCTCCGACACAAAACTCTCCTCCTCTTGCATGTTTCCGCTGTCCATAGCGTTGCTTTACAGTGTCGTTTCTAAGTCGCCAATTTAGTGCTACTTGGTCCCAATGGAATTTCCCATTGGGAACCTACTAGCACTAAGTTGCTAAGTGGTTAGCAAGCTGCTTCCGACAAACCAGCCACAATCAAACTTGCTTTTGAACCTTCCGACACAACAATCCCACCCTCTTGATAAATGACTAATCACATTCACTTTATTCACTGGTGTAAAGTCAGCACCACTCGGGAGAATTTGGAAATGCAATAGTTGGAACGGTTTTCCTACGAAAAGCTGCAAAACCTACTGCCTTTGAAAGACTCATACAAAGATTAAAACTGAATATTAAGATCAATATTATTAACAGTTTGCTTTGACCTCTAATACTCGGTCCTAACTTCTTAGAAATTCCTTTGAGAATTGTTTATGACTAGCATTCTTCCTTCGAGAGATTCTCCTCAAGCAAGCTTGCCATCTTGCTATAGGATTAGCTTTTTGGCAGCAGGTAAAGATAAGTAGGAGATCCTGGATGTAAACCTTTTCAAAGACTTAGGAATGAGCAGAGATTTAACTTTTAACAGGAAAACACTACCAGAGCTTTAATGGTTGGGTTTGGGTCACAGCTTCTAAAAACCCAATTTTTTTAGTTTTTACAGCACTAGCGGCTTGTTTTTCTGTCAGTAGGCTGACATTACAGGGGGAATGAGAGAGGGGGAGAGACATGCGGAAAAGGACCACAGGCCAAATTCGAACCTGGGTCTGCCGTGTCGAGGACTAAGGCCTCTTTACATGGGTCACGCGCTCTAATCATGGCACCACCTGCACGCACTATTTGTTCATTTTAAACACTTTGCTAAAACAACAATAAAGAGAACACTTAATGTCAATACAATCATCAAAAAAAATACTTCTAGCTAAGGTGGAAAAGGATGAAGATTACTCTTTTTTTCATATTCCTGCACCTTTATTCTTTTTGTCAATATATTGCATTTATAATAGCCACCAGACTACACATAAACTTTATCCATTTGCAAATAAATCACTATTTAGCTCTGCACATACCAAAGTTGTAGGACCCCAGCACCAAGTACATGTCTAAAGGCTGATTTATACGCAGAAACCAGGTCGTCTGCGTGTGTCGTAGCTAACGCAGATATGCCCCCGCCTGTTCTGCAGACACTCTGCTGCATCTCTCCAAAATTGTAGGTGACTGCAGATAGTGCTGCAGACAGGATGCCTCTGATTGGTCAAATCTACATCCGCTCTACTCTATCAGTATTTCCTGTTTGGTCCCTTACCGGCTTGTTTTGTTTTTATGTCCGCCATTGTGGAAAACGACTCATGATGATGGACCAGCTAGAAGAGCGAGGTGTGCGAAAACGCTGGGACCGTTTTTCCACCTGGATCCCTTCTCTTTTTCACCCTCATGTCCCTCCGCCGTTGCACACACTTGCCCCAACATCCTCACTGCCTTGGCCGTATCTAGACCCACAGCTAGTTGGTGATTTTCCCACTTCAAAATTGGGTATAAATGAAAAATATCTGCAACAAGCTCACTGCGACACACTTTTGCAGGAGTATAACAGCCCTTTAGAACGGCTTAGTCAAAGTTCACATCTAAATACAACCCAGAATCTTTTGGCCAGCCTTGAAAAGTAAAGTCCATAGTTGCCATAGTTGCATAGATGCCATAATCTCCAATCAGTCTTACTGAGCTTTAGCTAATATTTTATAAGGAAAGGTTTTCAATCTCTTGATGTATAGGCATGCAGTATTAGAGACATTCCTGCAAAGACCTGCAGCTGAAAGTGGAGCGTAATGTGTTTCATGTTCATTAGGGCTGTAGAGGAGAGAATGCACGACACACACATCCAAATAATTAGTGACAAAGGGAGAAAATGTTCAAGAGGCATGAATGTTTTAAACTTTCTTTAAATGAGATATTTACTCGTAAAATCTTACTTCTATATGTTTTTTTCTGTCAGGGTTCCTCTTCCTCTACCACCTCCATGGTCGAGCCATGCTGGACGTCCATGTGCATCAGCTGCTCCTCTACGCTGTCTTTGGCGAGGGTCTTGTTGCGTTCCTGGAGGTCTTCCACAGAGGGAACATCATTCTGGAGCTGCTGCGCTGCACCCTCACACTCCTGCAGGGGAGCTGGTTCTGGGAGGTAAAGCCTGACTGAGAGCATAAGGCTGATATTATCGTGGAGCCACATTCCTCTGACTCTACCTTTCTGTTTGCACACAGATTGGCTTCGTGCTGTACCCTCCCAGCGGCTCCAAGTGGGACATGGACGACCACAACACCATGATGTTTATTACCATGTGCTATTCCTGGCACCTCGCCTTTGCCATGCTAGTTGTCGCTGTGCTGTATTATACTGTCAGCTGGTAAGAACCTGCTCCTTTAGACTTGTTTGTCCTGAGAGGCTTTCAGATTAAAGCACATGTACACATCTTTCTCTTTAGTGCGGTTCGCTCCAGGCTGAAGAGGACACCTCCAATGGAAATGGGACTTCTGAAGCCCAGGGAGCGGGACGTGGAGTCAGAGGATGAAAATTTATGAGGCGGACTCTCGTTTACCTGATGATTTATGAATATATAAAGCAAATCAGGGATGTGATGCTTTCATCTTCAGCTGAAGTATGACTAGGAGTGCACACAGGAGCACAGAATAAGGATAAAAGCATGCTTTAGAGATATATTACTACCTCTGCCTTATTTAATCAGCTTTAAACCTTTCAAGCCTTACTCTATTTATTTTACAGTGACATTACCCCATCATATCCATTTTGTCATTTAAACATTGAGATAATACACCATTTTCTTTTTATTGACATTGTTTTTCTTTGTGTCAGTGCCAAAGTTTTTAAACTAAGTCATTTTCATGTAATTACTTGAAAAGCCTGAGTTTGCAAAGTTTTGCAAACTGGTGTTATGTTTTTTTAACTCTTGTAAGAAAGTCTGACTGTAGACCCGATTTGAACCGAATTTAAAGCAGTTTCTTTTTTCAAATGTTGTAAATGTTTATTTTTTATCTGTTTGATATGTTTCTATTGCATGGTGATTAAATTAGGTTTTACCATTACCTTAGGGTTTTTTTCGTTACTTGAAGTCATCAATGGTTCTTTGATGTCATCTTGGAAAAAAAAAAACACCCCCATGCGTTTGTTTTTGTTCCTTGGAGCGTTTTTTGACCCCAATGCAGAACCAAAGCCAGTGTCCAAGTAGTGGTGAAGGAAATTCATTTACATAGAAAATGAAAATAAAATTAGTGCAGCTTCAAGGGACCTGCTTCCATCGTATAAAAGAGAGGAGACATCCAGCTGCAGGGACAGGCCGCCGCCATTTTAATGATCCATACTATAAATGCGCATCGGAAGTTGGTGATTTGGACCGAAATGTCAAATATTTTTTGTTAAATTATTTTATTCCAAAACTTAAGATAATTCCAATTTTTATACTTTCATGTCAAGCCTTTTTATATAACTGACCCCTGAAGGCTGTTTGTAGGGAGGTTTCAACATTGTTTGTTTGTTTTTTTGATTATCTATATTTTTGAAAATTAGTTGCTGTCAAACACAAAAAAAAAATTCACACCCGAAGTTTTGGAGGAAACCTAAAAATAGGTCCATGAACTTAGTCCCTAACCTAATAACTTTGGTTTTTATTGCTTCCCCTGAGTGCTAACCCGAATCCTAAGGCTGTGGATGAGAAGCCCAAACCTTACTCGAGTCGATTTAAAGCAAAACTGTGACTTGATCACTAGGGGGCGCTAGACCTGTAACCTGCAGGTTTAGCGCCCCCGCAGGCCACTGGTAACAGTGCACTTTTCCTAAATGAAACAGTCTCCCTCTGTGTTACAAAATCTGATAACAGACCACTTTGGACCTGCTGATTGAGAAGTTATGTAGTTAAGGCTGATTTATACTCAGAAACCAGGTCGTCTGCGTGTGTCGCAGTCAAAGCAGATACTCCGCAGACACTCTTCTACACCTCTCCAGAATTGTAGGTGACTGTAGAAAGTGCCACAGACAGGAGGCCTCTGATTGGTCAAATCTATATCCGCACTACACTATGCGTATTTCCTTTTTGGTACCTTACCGTCATTCTAGAAAACGACTCGTGAAGATGGACCAGCTAGAAGAGCGAGGTGCACGAGAACGCTGGGACCCTTTTTCCACCTGGACCCCGCTCTTTTTCGCCCTCATGTCCCTCCATTGTCACATAAACTTGCCCCCCCTTCCTCACCGCCTCGGCCTTATCTAGACCCACAGCTAGTTCCTGATTGTTTCTCTTGTGTTGTGGCATGGAATAACACAGCGCAGACCACGCTTCAATATTGGGCATAAAACCAAAAATTATTCCTTTCTAGAATAAATCCTACCTTAGAGAACCTAAAATACGTCTCATCAGGTTAGTGCCATATCTGCTGTGTTGGCAATCAATAACTTTTAACTTAGATAGCTCTATTGTTCGAGGGGAGCTCAGACTGCTATATGGGACTCTCTAAAAATGGTCCCAAGCAGCTTAAAGGTCAGGACAGGCAGAGGCACTGGGTTTGGAAAGGCACCTTTGAGTTGAAAGGCACTAAAAAGTAGGTAGCTCATGAAGAAATGCAAGGCCAACACAAAACAAATCAGGAAAATCTAATTTAATTCTTGGGCTTGAATCAACAACTTTGGCTGTTTGATGAACATCTCTGTAAATCTCTACAAAAGTAGATTAAGGAAATGATAACAGCCTGTAACATTCTGCCACACCCACCGGCAGAGATCCTCAGTACTGACACCAGGAACACACACACCAAGATCATAACCTTTATTAATCTAAACATGCCGAAAACAGCTTGTTGAAATTCATTTCAAAGCACACATCATAAAGGAAAAGTAAGGGAATGTGAGTGACTTTAAAGGTAGCCTGGCTGTTGATGTCAGATTTATTGCTGCATTTAAAAAACTCAGTCTCCTGGGATTTCTGCTTACAGCCATATGTTTATGGTTTAAGAGGAATGCACTAAAAAAAAGAAAATCTACAAGGAGTGAGAATTGTGTGAAAAAAAAAAACTTGCAGACATAAGAAGGACAATGGACGGAGTGGTTTGAGATGCTAACAGGAACTCAAATAATGATCCCCTTGTTTTAGCCAAGGTATGCAAAACACCACTCCTGGGGGACATTCCTGTCCCCAAAAACATGAATCTAAGACTTAAGGTTTACACAGGCTCACTGTAATTGTTGCTGACCATGTCAATGATTTATATCCACAGTGTACCCATCTTCTGATTTCTTCTTTTAGCAGGATGATACAGGTCAAGTCAGAACATTCAGACTATCTTAAACCGGTTTGTTGAAGACAGCAGTTCAATAACTACACTCCAAAGGGCTGTGCAGGAACTGGATCTTATTCCAATAACACCTTTGGGATTTAGTGAACTAATAAATAGTCCTTTTTAAAAGGCAAATGTAATGATGCTTATAAATGTCAGGTGAAAATGCTGTGTTAGTAAAGTAAAATCCTCCTGACAAAAAAATTAGGACTGTTGCATGGACAAACCAGTGAAGGTCAGTAAGTAAAAGATGTGATTATCCATCCATCCATTTTCTGTGACTCTTATCCCAAGCTGGGTCCTGGTGCCTATCTCCAGCTGTCTAAAAACTCCTCTCCTAGAGCGATTTTTGTTTGTTCATTTTTTTACGGCACCAGTGGCTCATTTTTAGTGAACTGAAAATATACAGTTGCTGAAAAATCTGTAACAACATCTGAAGAGAACAGGCGTTTTAAAGTGCATGTGCTATATTTAGTTTTTCAGAATGGTACAATACAACTGCAGTACCCAGAAGACCAGTGGCGGCTGGGGGAGTTTTCTCCAGTGGGGCTATAATTCAAAATAGGTGTATACCAAAAACTAATCAATTGATACTAAGTTATCACACCAGTATATTTATATGAATGCCAACAACACAAAACATTATAAAAACACTTTATTATAAAAAAAAACATGATTTAATATGTAGTTTTACTTTTTGTTCATTAATCTTGCCCTTCTGAGGCTTTGTGAAGGTAAATCTGTGTTTTGCATGGTCCAATATGGCGTCACAGACCTAAAAAAAAAGTAATGTGCCTAGAAAAAGACAACTATATTCTGTTACTTTCCATGTGAATCCCAGATTGTTCCTTCTTCTTTGCCTTTTCTAAAAAGTGCTTTAAATCAGTCCTAGCTGTGGGAGAGGTGTTTTATGTCTGTCTGACTGTGTCCACCTCAACATGCAGGGTAAACTCTAAAGTGCATTAGCTGTCCCACAGGCTGTCAGCCACGACTTACGAGGGAACCAACTCCTGCTAAAAGTCTGGTTGTAGGGTTTAGCTTTTTCCTCGGTTTGCTGCGTTAAATTTATTTCTGGCTTGTAGGGTTCCAGTTTCTTTTCGTGGATTTTTTCCACCATCATCCTTCTCATGAAAGGGGAACTCAGTAAAGATCTCACTGAATTGTGTGAAAGCTGCTCTTCAAGTTCAGCTGTTGGCGTCGCCATAATCTCCACCTCACTGTCTGACTGACTACTAGCTACATCA